TCTTGATAATGATGCTGAATTGAAAATATAATTTAGATATATATATATGTTTAAAAATAATAAATCAAATAATGTAGTTAAATTATCTGCAATATTTACATAGTCTTATCAAAATACATAAATAGTGGAATACACGTATAAGTTATACCGAATAATAAAATAAGAAAACCTACATAAAAAGCTACATATACGTATCAATATCGTATATGTATAATCAACTTTACAATTCAATATAGTCGTATGAATTAAGATTCTACACCATGGAAAATCTAAAAAACATTTTCAATTAAGTTAAAAATCTGTTAAAATTACTTAATTAGATAAATATTAGATTTACTATACGTATTACTCAATTTCTCTGTCAACTTCCCATCAACAATAATATTGAAGTTTATTAAGCTTTTTTGCTTTTAACAACACACATATTTTGGATGACCTAAAATAAAATACATATGTATTCAATAAAATCTCATCTTATTCAAAACACATATACATATCACAATTATTACCTTTATGTATTGCAGTTACAAATCTTTTAATCTTTTCTTTATCTGTACTTATGTATAGAAAATTGTCAAGAAACCGTAGCATGAGCTATAAATTCAATTTTTAGCCAAGAACACTAACCTTTCGAAATTGATATATTTACTTATGCTATCATCATGCTTCACAAAAAGAAGCACTTCCCATTCCATATCACTATAATAAAAGCTATGTATTAAATGATTATAAGTTATCAATATATAAATATTCAATTATCAATTGTGTCAATACGAACTTACAAAGCAGTATCGATACAACTGACTCTTATGAAATACCATACACTACCTATAATACTTGTCTCCAATCTATTAAAAAACATAGCATATTACATTTTATACGTATTGCAAATTACAGGAAACGAGTGCTGCCAGGATAAAGCATTACAGATTTTTAATTATATTTGTATTGAAAACAACCTCTAATAAATTAGATAAATCATGTCTGGCACAAAATATAATTCAAAATCAAATGTGTATTTTCTCTTGACAGCACTCCTATAATAAAGCAGTTTCGGAATCATACTTTTATTAAATTATACTTGATATGCTTTTCTAAGAG